CAGACGGGATTTGGTCTGATGTATACCATCCATTCCATTGTAACACCAGACGAAGAACACTCCAGGGAGATGCCATTCTTACTGAGGGCTGAACCTGCTGCCTTCCCCTCAGTGTTTTTTTTTCGTTTGGGGCCTAATACCCTAGAGTAATAAACTGGGTGTTTCTTGCGGTTACAATTCCTTTTTGTATAGTCGCTGGGGGGGGCTGCGCCCCCCCCAGACCCCCCCCTCAAAGGCTGTACGGTGTGCTGTAAACAACACCTGACGTCTGGAAACACACATGCCGTACCACCATCGTTCTGTGCACCTAACTGCATTGGCGCCAGTGTCTCTGTGAGCAGGGCGCGGAGCCACTTTGACTGTCCATAAACGTCGTGAGCACGCGAAGGCAAAGGTATATATATGTACACTGTCAGCACCATCAACACCACTGCATTGCACCAGCCGCCGACTTCGCTCAAATCGCTGGATTCATTGACTTCAAGAGCGGCAACTACGAAGTGCCTATCCTTGTCTTCTGTATTATCTAATTATTCTTCTAAATGTTTGGGGCATTGCGTCTGCGGACTTTCTGAGCCCTTTGCTTTGGTCAAGAATGAACGAATGCCCCGTTGACCTAAGTTGAATGCAACAGCGGGCCGTCTCATGGTGATATCATCAAATATTTTATATATAAATAGTGTATAAGCTCCAGATGTTCAGCTTTATCTGTGCAGAAGGCATTTGGGGCGACTTATGGCCGAAGTAATGAACCAGTACGGCCAACTGACCAATTATTCCATTTCTTCCAGGCTCAGACCCCCATTTATTCCCAAAAAAGTAATATATTACCAAAAAAATAAACACTGGGAGGGGAAGCTCCCCTCCCTGTCCGGAGCGAACGTCCCCGGGCATATCCTGTAAGACTTTTTGACTTCGTCCGTCTTCCTCCGAGGTTGGGGTCAACCTTTTTATGTGGCTGTTAGACAAAACACCCATCAGACATCCATCTATGGATAAGGAATATACTGCATCATGCCTGGCATGCGTAATGTTAGCAACCCGAATCGATTTGGATAAGTTCCCAGCGCCTAGTTATTCGCACAAATGTAAGACTAGACAGAGAGTAATTATGGGAGATGCCTAAGGAGCTGAACCTTCTTATAAACATGAAACCCTATGAACCCCCGCACCTGCACCAGGCAATGCACTCAATTGCATCCGACGTAGAGCCCGATCCTGAACTGCTCAAAAATTTGCATCCCAGCAACCGCACGTTCCAGGAGACGCCTGCAATACCGGCATTATTGTTTCCTGTAGCGCCGATGGTTCCTGTACTCAGTTTTCGGGGTACCCAGGGAAGCCGATTGCCGGGATTGCGGAGTTTTAAGCAGCAGCCTGCAACAAGTAACTACTCATAATGGATAATAATAATAGTTATAGTAATAATAATAATAATAATAATAATAATAATAATGATAATAATAATATATAATAATAATGAAATGATAATGATAATATAATGGATTGTGCCCTGATACATATGATTGGGGATCCGGATGTCCCTATCGAAGTCTTGACGTCTATAGATCGCGTGTGTGTGTGTAAATAGGTATTAGGGCACAATCTGTAGACGAGAATTGGTGTCGTCAAAAAGACGAACGACTCGGAGCGACTGTGGTTATATTGATATCTTAGCAAAAAAAGTATATATGTGTGGCGACCTTACTTTTTTCATGCCCTGACGAAAGCATAACAACGTTACAATATAGCTATAGGCATGCAATAATGCCCTGCATCCGTTGCTGCCTTTTGCAGTAGTACACAAGTAAATGATAATGTTCGATCACGAAACAATGAGACCCACTGCCAATGTGATGCCGTGTGTAATCATATGCATGGACCTACCCGCGCAATGCGTTCCATGGCCATGGTCATCAAAGGGAGCTGTTCGCATCCTGTTATTGATTGCGTCGTACACCTGCAAATTCGTCATTGAGTGCATGCTATTATCGTGCATCCATAGCATGTCACTGCAACAAGGCATGTTGTAAGTCTGTAAGATGCTTCTATTTAATCTACTTGCCGCACCCTAGTATGATGTGTGGGACAGGGGGTTGATATCTTCACCCGTGGCCCCTACCTGGCGAAACCCTCCCTTCCCCGGTATTTCGCGGCAAGCAAGCGGACTGGCCAGCCACCTAGACCAGGTCATCATATTTAGATAGGACCGAGAAATAGATATCGATTGTATTGGTGTCATTGTTACCACGATATATGTATCGAATGGCCTTTTAGGCCGTGTGACGGTCTAGTATGTATATCGGCATGCCTGAAAATCGATGGTCTATAGAGGATCAAAAATCAACCGACGTATGGGGATTGGGAACCCCGCACGATGGAATGCCCATTGCCAATAAATCCCGCTGGAGGGGACATTTTCTACACGCACAGTACGCAGCAGCCACGCACCATAGCAGTGTTGCCCAGGTCTGGATGATCCATCTGAATACCAGTATCGATGACACATACTGTGATTCTGCAAACGGCAATAAGTTGCCAGCAGCAGCAGCAGCAGCAGCAGCAGCAGCAGCAGCATGTCATGCATGCCAGTGATCAGCAGAGAACAGCTGTTCTCTGTTCCTGAGGAAAGAAGCCGCACATCAGGGTACCCTATACCGGGCCGGGCCACTCCATCAGTGGCCACCCCATGGAGCGCTGTAGCATTGTCGAAGATACCGTCAGTAATTCTTTATCGTCCATAGACAGCAGGGTCATCACATAATATATAGGACCAAGAAATAGGTCGTACATGGATTAATTGTACAGAATGGTCTAAAACCCATGCCATGGTATCATGCATAGATAGGCCTAAAAAATAATGGTCTATACACAACAAAGCATTTCCAGCCGCGCAACATGTGCCGTACTACCACCTCATCGAGCTACCTGCTGAACTTAAGTTACAACCCGATTTCAGAATAGTACCGATCGGCAGATGCATTTCCCGTGATATGCCCAGAATAAAACATTAATCCCCTTCCAGGTGAGGTTGTCCTCTACCTAGGCAATTTCCAGGGTCAATGAAGGGGAGGTCACTACCCGGACCCACAAGGATGACCAGCGGTCACCGGGCCTACCACCTCCCGCCCGCCCCCATCAAATAGGATTTAATCCTGGGTCAGAGCTAGGATACCTGCTCGATACCAAATGTTACATCACGGCTTCAGAAAAGTACCGATCGGCAGATGCAGATGCCGTGATATGCCCAGAATACAACACCTTACTACCTGCAGCTTCTAAACCCAGGCCAACCGCAGCGGTATTGTCCTCCCAAAACCACTTCACCCGTCACTGCGATATTATAAAAATTCTTGGCTTTCTTTGCTCTGCTTCGCATGCTACAGCATGAAACCTCAGGCTACGCGGTCACCAGGTACTCACCAGCGTTATTTTTTTGCGGAATATATTCCGAATTTGGAATAAAAAATGTTCGTGGTCCTGAAAGTTAAGAATAAATAATGTTCCGACCGTGCAAGTTCATTCCTCCAGCCAAAAATGGACTGCCCATGCCCAGGGAACGAGCCGAAACGGAAACCTGCGGAAACGGAAACCTGCGGAAATAGGTTTCGTCACGCTTTCCGCAGCGAAGCCCAGATTGGCGGAAATGCGGAAAGAGAATCCGCATTTCCGCGTTTGCTGTACGGCGGGAATTAAAAAACAGATTCCAGGCATGCGTTTGCCATTTAAAGACTGCGTTTTACACTATGGAGTTTAAAGATTAAGTCAAATGTCAACAACCACTGGCCCCGACCTGGGGGCTGCCGAAGTCATAGAGATTGACTGTGTTTCTGCTCAGAAGAAGGGTGGAAGGCCCGTTGACGACGTTTGGAAACATTTTGATAGAGGTCCTTACGACAAGAGCAAGAACTGCTATGCAACCTGCAAGGGCTGCCGTCGCCACTGGAAACGTGCGCGCCTTCCTGAAATCCGCTTACACCTTGCCAAGGAGTGCACTGCCATTGCGCCTGAGGTCAGCGATTGATCGCTTGGCCCCCGCCACCCCCAGTAATACGTTTAGATGGCTCTACCTTCGAGCACGATTGGAATCCACCAGATTCTAGATTCCACCGGACAGAACCGCACTGCCACAAGCTGGTTTCAGACTGTCCATGTTATCGCCACACTGAGAAGAGCTAAAAAACATCGTTACATATTCATTTTACAGCTTTCGCAGCTTTCCGCAGTTTCCGCAGCCTTTCCGCAAAGGGCCTCCCGATTACGAAAAGCTTCCGCAGACCTGGTCAAGTTTCGGCTCGTTCCCTGCCCATGCCAAAGCCGCTAGAATCTCACAGGAGACATATATGTTAACCATATCATAGTACTTTAATACCATGGACACTGTTAGGAAGCTCACGCCCGAAAGTCAACGAGGAATCGGACTGTTTCTGACCGGACCAAACGCTGCAAAACATTCGGACCCGAAGCTCCCAAAGCGTGTTAGGTCATTAAAGTAGATATAAAAAATCACTGAAGCCATTAGCGACGTTAATTAAGACGGTATAGAGGTCGTAGGGAATGTGGGCGCAATGCTGCAGCCAGCCGACGACAATGACGCCACTCCGGTTGTCAACAGCGAGCGGGCCAAACATCAACGTTCGTCATATGGAGACAATCGCGATGGTCCAGGAAACAGGCTGCGTTTGGCGGTTCCGGTTCATTGCTGCTATGCATCATTACTTTTGCAACCCGGAAAGTCGTGTAGTGTTATCTTTCAACGTGATGCAAGACGAACGATGGTGAACGAACTCTATTCGATCAGTGTTTGAGAGATTGTGGTGACGCGTGTTGCGGCATTCCTCACGGCGTTTGCACGAAGTAAACTGTAACTCATCGGGAAGGGGTCTGGGGGGGGGGCCTTACAGATTCGGAATGCTTTTATTCCCGCGACTAAAAACCTATTCCTCCGTTCGGACTGGAAAATTCACCGGCAAAATTGGAAAGAAAAACACTGGTAGTACTCACTGATTCGATCCACGGAACACATCCCAAGCCGCCTCAGCCGAAATCTGCCGCATTGCTGTGCTAATGCGTGAATAGAGCGGATCGTTGGGGGTTGCAAGGGTTCGCACCATGTAGTTGGGCTCCGCTTGGAAACCTACATGCGTGCATACATACATACATACATACATACATACATACATACATACATACATACATACATACATACATACATACATACATACATACATACATACATACATACATACATACATACATACATACATACATACATACATACATACATACATACATACATACATACATACATACATACATACATACATACATACATACATACATACATACATACATACATACATACATACATACATACATACATACATACATACATACATACATTTCCGTTACAATAATGAGCAAGCAGCTCCTGGCGGCCAATCCAGCCCTCTTGCAGCATCTATAGTAACAAACCATTACATTTTGGGCTACCGTATTGTCGTGCGTACCTCTGCCTCTGAAATCATCCATCATCTTCTGCAACACAGCCATCGTGGATGCGGATGTTGTGTGTGCAGCTGCACTACTATTAGACGACGTTGCAGACGCCATAACTGTGTTAGCAAGCAACCAGCCGCTTTTGCCGACCGGTGCGATGGTATTGGCATCGTACCCGAGGCTGCTGAGCCCCTTGATCTGAGCTGAAGCAATCCCCGGCAAAGGCCGAACAAGAAAGCCGTCGTACGCCGGAACTGATCCCGGCACGAATGCACCAGGTCCCTGCAAACACCACGCACCACCACAACATGAGTGGTATAATAATAGGGAAAAGAAGGGTTCTACCAAACCGAAAAAACAGGCACCTTCCACTCGTAAGCCGGTGCCTAGTTTGTGGGAATATGTCTATGCGACCCTAAAACCCCTTTTCAACCCTATGCCAGAATTCCGTGATATGCCGCCTATACAACATAAGATACAACACCTACCGCCACTACTGCATGCGCAGGACTCTGGCGCCTATCATAGGCCCATCATACCGGTACTTTGCATGGACTGCATAACACAAGTCCTTTGGAGTGCACGCGGTCGCGAGAAGCGTGTTTTGCCCTGCGCATCTGCCTGTAAGAGCACATATATAATATCGACACACACATGCATACCTGGCCTGGGATGAAACCAGCCTGGGCGACATAATGTCTACTCATGACTAGAAGGATAGCTTGTATCCAGGAGATCCACACACAGGTTCGTCCCTTGTCCACAAGTCGATTGATGTCGTACATTTTCTCCCTCTCCTCCCTGCCACATTATTGGATTGTTGTTGGGCAGTAACGGGAAGGACGATGAAGGTTATAATAGTGTTGGTAAAGGCATATATGGGATCTCTTTGCCGCCTTTCCATAGTGTTGACATGCAGGTTTGCGAGGGTCGGGCTGGGAGACGTTATGCGGCGGTCTCAGCGCCATTACATGGTAGCTAGCCGCTGAAAAGCGTTTCTGATTCTCGATAGAGGCCTTAAGGCTGCCGAAACACACTAGTTCGCATTTGTGTGCCGTACTATGTACATACAGCTACTATACATTAGCATGGACGGCCATGGATACGCAAGTGCGTGCAGCAGAAGCAATCGCTTGCAAGTCGCGCACGGGAATCCCACAACAGCATCAGTCGGCGCCACCAAATAAGGCAATACCTTCCAAAAATTAGAACCTTAATAAAGTTTCCACGTATGCCTAAGTTCTATGTATTTTTCCAAACTTTTTCACGCCTTTCGTTGCGCACATACATATGATACGCATGTTGCTATCGCCGTCGGCGGTTGTCGGTAATAAGACAGGCAGGCATGGAGATAGCGCTAAAAATTTGGGGGCCTGAAACTGAACTCAGCAGCAGGCGCCGTTCTAACGAGTTGCGACACCTCGCTTGACGATTGCTGGAGCGCATCATCAACACGCCACCATCGCTGAGAGTCAATCATTGCGAGCTAGCGAAAGTGCCATGCATGCGGCCAAAGCTACCTGTCCGACTGTAAGCAGGAAGCAAATGCTCTTCAAATGGTTGTCGTTCCTAACGAGTCGCCTCCAGCCGATCCGTCCGCCTCGTTTGCTCGTCGATTGTTATTATAAACAACAACTTTGCTTTAAGCTCGCTACTACCTTTTACCTAGATCTTTTTTTCATCTTGTATCACCTTACCGGCTATTGCTTAAACGTCATCGCGTGATCCGTACTCACTACTAACTTATTGTGGGGAAGGCCATTGCGTCTGCGACCACACTCCCGCGGTACCCAAACCCTTCAAAGACAATTCCGATCAGCCATTTGGCTGTTAGTGGGAGGGCGGGTGGGCCGCTCGCACGGCAATCGAGTAGAGAGTACGAAAATAACCTAATGCAGTCATCGACAGCAGAAAACGTAAGCCTCCAGCCTCATGCCGACTCTCTTACCTACCATTCATATTCTCTACCTCGTTCCCAAGACTCCGCCGCGTTGCCTCTAGTTCGGCTCGTGCCACAGGTAACTTCGCTCGTCGCTACTTTGCCATTCACCTTCGCCTCCACCCAGCCTCTGCTTCTCCACAGAAGCGGCGACCTCCTTCGCCGTTGTTACGCCTCGTCTATGCGAATCCTCCTCATCCGACTGTGTCTTCTGCCTACCCGGTGCGCGCCCCCTCTCTCTGCGCATCCTTTTCTCTGGCCCTCTCTTACGGTTGCC